TATTCATGTCTTCTGCCCATTTTTTAATTGGATTGTTTGTCTTTTTTGTTATTGAGGTGTTGGAGTTTTCTATAAATTCTAGAGATAAGTCCCTTTTCAGATATGTTATTACCAACTATTTTTTCCCAGTCTGTAGGTTCTCTTTTGACTCTTTCGGAGAAGTCTTTGGAAACACATAAAAATTTACTTTTTAGAAGGTCCCAATCATCTGGTTTCTCTTCTGCTGTTTGTGCATTTTGAGTTATGCTTGATAGTCTTTTCATGCCATATATTAGGGCCCCTAAATCTGGCCTTAGTTTTTCCTTGATGAACTCTATAGTTTGGGTTTTCACATTTAAGTCTTTGATCCATCTGGAGTTGGTTTTTGTATATTGTGTGAGGTATAAATCTTGTTTCATTTTTCTGCAAATGGATTTCCAGTTTTGCCAGCACTATTTATTAAACATTCTCTTCCCCATTTAATGGATTTCGGCCCTTTGTCAAAGATCAGCTAACTATAGGTTGATGGATCTATTTCTGGGTTATGTCATCTTGTGTATCAGTGGTCGATTGTTACTTACTATTTTTGGTTCTCTGTTCATAGGACTCCCTTTAGCATCTCTTGTAAGGTTGGTCTGGTTTTAACAAATTCACTTAATTTCTACTTATCTGGAAATCTCCTAATTTCACCATCATATTTGAAAGACAATTTTACTGGGTATATAATTATTGGTTGAAAATTTTTCTCTTTCACAGTTTTATATATACTATCCCATTGCCTTCTTGCTTGTGTGGAAAAACAAAAGACAGAATATATATTCTCATCTTTCATTGTATCAAGGAAGTTGTCCTCCAACAAATTTTCTCAGTGCTTTTATTTTTCTCTTCTTGTTTTGGAATTCCAGTGACACGTAGGTTATTTCTTTTGATGATATCCCACATGAACCTTAGGCTTTCTGCTTTTTTTTTTTTTTTTTTTTTTTTTATCCCTTTCCAAAAAAGTATTCAGGTATTTGTCTTCAATCTCATTAATTCTGTCTTCCATTACATTAATTCTGCTCCTTTGCCCTTCCAATGTTTTATCTATTTCTGACAATTTAGTATTAATCTTCTAGATTTCTACCTGTAGATTTAGAATCATTTCTAATTTTTCATCTATTTTGTCATTTTGTTCTTGTATTTTCTTCCAAAATTCTTCTAAGGTTTTTTCTGTGTTTTCTTTGGTTTGTCTCTCAATCCTTTGAAGATACCTAAATATCATTCTTTTGAATTCCTTATCAGAGAGTTCCAGTGCTGCATCTTCCTCAGGGATGTGTTCTGGATCTGTATCCTGTTCCCTTGTTTCTACCACTTTATTTTGCTTCTTTGTGTGGACTGTGATGGTCTGTTGTTTCCGAGGCATCATGGTGTTTTTGTATTTAGGTCTCTGTTAACTGTTTGTGAAGAGCAGCCAAGGGTGATTCAGGCTCTTTTTGGTCGTTTTTTATCGTTGGCCCATTGATGGAGAAGGAGGCAGTGGCTCTTGGTCAGTAAGAGAAATTGCAGGAGGTATGGGTGTAGTTGTGTCTTATGGGGACTGTTGCTGTCTCCCACTCAATTAGGCAAAAATTACAACTGAATAACCATCAAAAAACTAAAACACATGGACAAAAAACACCATGTAATCACACAGGAACAGTAACTAACAAAAGGGAAAAAGAAGAAGAAAAAAATAAGAAAACCTGCAACATCTGGGTATAGGGCGATAAGAGAAAAAAGATGAGAAGGAGAATAATGAAGAAAAATATGGAAAAAATGCGGAAAGAAATACAAGGAACAGAGTTAACCATGAGGAAAAAAAAATTAAAAAAAATTTTGCAACCATGAACATGGAAAAGAAAAAGAGCTGAAAACTAGGACCTGGGAGGGGAAGAATAAAGAATAACATAGTAAAAAGACAAATGTATTAATAATAATAGTAGTTTTGAAACAGACAAAAACAAGCAAACTTAAAACCAGAAAAAAAAAAATCGTGGCAGGCTAGGGCAGGGCACCCAGGCTGCCTGAGCACACAGACTAGGATGGATTTCCTGCAGGCCTAGAAGGTGGGTGGCAGTGGGTAATGGCTGCATCTCCGTTCACCAAGGGGTGTGGGGTATAAGAGTAACAAGGGGAATGTTGCACCTTTTCAGTTTTCCAGGTCCAGAGTTTCCTTGGGGTTACTGGCAAGCAGAAACCTGTTCTTAAGCCCCTGGAATCTTGGAGAGCGCTTCTCTTTAAATATTCAAAAGGTCAAGCTGCTTATAAACATTCAAAATGGCGGCGCCCTCCGGGCAGGGAAAAGTCCACAGCTCAGCCCTCCTTTCTCTTCGCTGGTGCTTCGCGTTTTATTCCGCAGCCACCAGAGCAGTCCTCCGTGCAGTCCCTGGCTAGCAGGGCTGATTTTTAGGTTAATTCTTAGGTCCTACCACCACTCGGCACTCTCCAGGCTGTCTGTGCCGTCAGGCTTGCTCTGGATCGCTGCCAGGTTGCAGCTCCGTATGTCTCCTTTTTTTGTATTTTCATGCAAATTCTTCTGCTAGTTGGGGTTTAGTTCACTTCTATATCCTTCCCTTTAAGGCTCAGGGGTCCAGGATTATCTTCTGTGTCTGTGTTAACTGGTTCCTCTTTTCTTTGTTGAAGAGGGTCTGTGCAGTCTTTCTCCCTAGTCTGCCATCTTCTGCATGTCTACTTGACCTTTTATAATAGTGGACTAATACAATATTTTCCTTCTGTGATCAACCAGTTTTACTCAGCATAATGTCCTCCATGTTCATCCATGTTATGCGGTGTTTTGTGGATTCTACATTATTCTTTAGTGTTGCATAGCTCACCTGCCTATTTTGTTTACCTGTTTAATTGCATACTCAGTGGCCCAATGATGAAGCTGGTTTATAAACTGCAAGCTGAAGACTATAAGTTTGACTTTCCTGTCTCCTACCTTCCCGTGAGTATGCATACCTGGGGCAGAGCAGGACCTGCATATTATATTGGCTGGGATGTGGTAGGCATTTGGGGCCTGGTGGGGCTCTGGCCTTGGGTAGGAGGACCCTGCACAGGGTCTCTTCAGGGTGCAGGGGGCATTATAGATTAGATCCTTAAACATAACTTAGATTGTGTTTTTCAAGATAATTCCAAATCTGCCGGTGGACCGAGTGGCAGGTGGGGGCCTGGTGACTCTGCTGCTTGGTTATTCTGAGTCTCCAGGATGCTGGGCAAGTGGAGGGTGACCCGCACAGTGGGTGTGAGAAGCAGAGTGGCCGATGGTCCCCTGCCTGGCCAGGCTCAGTGACAAGCTGCTGTCCCTGCTTGTTCTGGTTACCTGGTGCCGCTCTGACAGGAATATACCACAAATGGGATGGCTTGAACAAACGGGTTTATTCTCTTATAGTTTAGGGGCCTAGAAATCCAAGTGCCAGGCCCTAGGGGCTAGGTGAAAGCCCCTTGACCTTGGGCTTCAGCTCTGCCTCTTGCTCCCGGCCCACTGAAGCTAGAGGTACCTCTTCACTCAGGCAGCTTCTAGCTGCTGAGGGTAACCAGCGCAAGGTCAACAAATAAATTGGCACAGTCCCAATACTACCATGCCACATGGCCGGCCATTAATTCAAGTCCATCAAAAGTCCCAGTGTCCACAGAGCATGGCAGGTTGCTGAACAACAACACAGCTACATTCAGGGTTCAAGTGTGCTGTAAGCTAGAGACCATTCCCTAAGAGTTCTTATATGGAGACAGAACACATCCCTGAAGCAGCTACTCAGCTGCCTGTGGTAGGTCCAACTGTGGAGTTTATTGCCATTCTTATCATGGGGAATAACTACCACCAGCTGCCCAGCCACTCAACCAGGCCCAGCCAGGTTGACACACAAACTTAACTACCACACTGCTGTTGGTGGCTTTTGTGAGGATGTGAGATTCTCAGGCCCAAATCTCTGCTGCATGCCACCCAGATAGATGGCACAGCAGGCTGTGTGCTGGTCCCCCTAGTACCTTCTCCAGGGCTGTGCCCTGCAGGCTACGTGATGGGTCTCCCACTGAGGAGCCCTCTCCTTCTGCAGGGCCCTGTGAAGGCGTCCATCCAGGAGCGGGTCCTGCCTGACAGCCCTCTGTACCACAACAAGGTCCAGCTGCCGTCCAGCGGGGGCCTTGGCCTCAACCTGGCCCTCAGTATCCTTTGTGTCTCACAGTGGGGAGGCTGGGGCACCTGGTGCACCATGGGATGGGGGCCTCGGTGTGCAGCGGGGGTGGAGGAGGCCCGGTGCACTGTGGGATGGGGGTATTGGGTGCAGCGGGGGTGGAGGGGGCCTGGTACACTGTGGGATGAGGGCCTTGGGCATAGCGAGGGTGGAAGGGGCCTGGTCACTGTGGAAATGGGGGCTTGGGCACATCTGGCGTGGAGGGGGCCCAGTGCACAGTGGGTGGGGGCCTCGTGTAGTGGGGGTGGAGGGAACCTGGTGCACAGTGGGAGTGGAGGCTTCATGCACAGCATGGGTGGAGTGGAACTCCTGTGCAGGGAGATAGGGCAGAAAGGACCTGCTGCTTAGTGGGGGTGGAGACGCTATGCACCATGGGTTGGGGGCCTTGGTGTGCAGTGGGGGTGGAGGGCCTGGTGTGCACAGTGGGTGTGGATGCAACTTGGAACACAGTAGGGGTGGAAATGGCCTCCTGTGAGGGGGCGGGATGGACTAGAGGGTGCCTGCTGCATGGGTGTGGGGCCCTTGTGTGTAGTGTTGGGGTAGAGGGCCTGGCGCACAGTGGGATAGGGACCCTGTGTGCAGTGGGGGTGGCGTGGGATCAGTGCACAGCGGGGTGGAGGCCTCGTGCACTGTCGGGGGCCAGCTGGGGGCTCCCCGAGCTCTGTGTGGTGTCTCCTTAATGTGGCTGCAGACCCCTTTGAGTATTACACATTCTTTTTCGCCTTGAGCCTCATCACTCAGAAGGTACAGGTGGGGCCTCTGGACAGTGGCTTGGCCACAGCCTACTGGGGAGGTGGAGCCCCATTTCTGAGGGGAGCATGGGGCTCAGGGTCTGTCTGGGAGTTGGCAGCCACCTGTCTCCGTCTGTCCTGCCTTCTGGTGGCCCCTGCCCCGTCCCCCACTCCCTGTTCTCCCACTCCCTGGTCCTCCTCCTCTAGTGAGGGTCACAGATCAGGCAGACCTGGCCACCCCGAGTGGCTGGCAGAGCCCCACTGGCTCTTCTCTGTCAGCACTTCACACTGTTTTTCAACTAGAATGTTTTTGCTCACTTTTCATGGAGCACTCAGGTGGGGAGATACTTGTGTGGGCCTGTAAGAAAAGCTTTAAGGCGAGGCCCCTCCAGAGTCCCTCACCCCCTTGGATACGGGGTGCCTTGACCGGAGAGTCTGGTCAGGCCCTGAGTCTGGAGTATCCTCAGCCCATCACCCCAAGAGTGCAGTGTGTCGTACACGGGGCTTTGTGGAGCTGCACACTGATGACATGCTTGCTTCTCCAGCCGCTGCCCGCCTCACTCCACATCCGGACATCCGACTGTGCTTACTTTCTCCTGGTGGACCGGTACCTGTCGTGGTTCCTGCCCACAGAAGGCAGTGTGCTCCCCCCACTCTTCTCCAGTCCTGGGGGCTCCAGCCCCTCGCCAGCTCCCAGGTAAGGAGCTGGGCCTCTCCCTGCCGCCAGCCATGAGGCCTGGCCATTCCCACAGAGAGTTACCCAGACTGTGTGGCCCGTGGATACAGCTGTGCTGCCTTTTGTCTAGCGCTCCCAGCTGTTCTAGCACCTTCGTCTCCCTACTGTAGCTGGGGGTAGCCTGTGGCATCATGGAAACCCTGCAGCAGAGCCTCGGTCTAGAACAGCCTCCGGCCTGGGTGGTGAGCAGGCTCGAGAGGCCCTGAGGCTGAGTCAGTAGAGTTGATGGAGGCCTAGGAATGTTCTGGAGAGAAAGGACCTGTAGGCCAGACTTGTGAAGGGCAGTCCTGGGTGCTGAGTGCCTGCTGGTCACACAGATGGGCCAGAAGTCCTGGTCTGAGATAAGGATCCCGTGCAGCCAGCCTTGGCCTGAGTAGGACGTGTGGGGCCTCTCGTGCCCTGGTGCCCAGGGCCAACGACTGGCCCCAGCAGCAGCTGCCTCTGCATCCCTGACGCCCTCATGTGGATGGTCCATTTGTGTCCGTAGGACCTGCAGGTGGCTGTTTCCTGCAGGGCCAGTCCTCCCCAGTGAGCTGATGTCCATAAGCTCTCACCCGAGACCTTGGATCTGCATGTCTAGATGGATGTCTGGAGGGAGGTGGGCTGAAGGGTGAGCATGGCAGGGGCTGTCCGGGCAGGTGTGCACAGAGGCCATCATGATGGTGATGCTGCGGCCTGGGATGAGGACATGTCAAGGACATGCCCCTCACAGGATCTCGGCCTGGTTTTGTTTGGTGTAACCTTTTGCAGTAATTTCAGATTTAGAGAGAAATTACCATGAATAATCAAAGACCCTTTGTAGACCGTACCCCACATTTCTGGGGCCTTTTTCCCTCTCTGTGTTCCCCTGGGCGGGGATTTTTTTTTTTTTTTTTTTTTTTTTTTGATTTTTTTTATATTGTAGATGCACTTTCCCTGGCACATTCTTATTTTGCAAAAGGTAATGAGTTGTCTTTGTTATGTTAATGAGGCATAATTACTGTAGCGTGTATTTTGAGTCAATCTCTTTTTTATTATTATTACTTTTACTGTGGTGAAAGCATGCACAATAAGACATTCACCAACATAACAGCGTTCCCTTTCACAGCTCAGGGACATTAATGACATTTTTCATGTTGTGCCACCATTATTGCTGTCCTTTCCACATACTCTATCACCGTTAGCATCAACTCAGTGCCTCCAAACAAAAGCTCCCCCCATCCATAACCACTAATTATCTTTGGTTTCTTTATATATATATGCACTTTGTTTTTTCAAGTCTTTTATATAGGAATTTTGCTTTCCCTCTCTTCTCATTCCTGGTAACCAACAAAGAAAGTTCCCTTCTACATACAAACCTTTCCTTGACAATAGTGGGCTAATATTTGTCCTTCTATGTGACTTATTTCACTCAGCATGATGTCCTCCAAGTTCCTTCATGTTACGTGGTGTTTTTGCAGATTGTATATTATTCTGTAGGGTTGCATAGTATTCCACTGTGTGTATCACCATAGTTGGTTTAGCCTTTTCTCCGTTGATGGGCACTTAGGTTGTTTCCATCTCTTTGCTATTGTGAATAATCCTGTGATGAACGTGAGTATACTGGGTGAGTTTTCTGACCTAAATGAGAAGGTTTAGACATGATATATGTCTTAGTCCCCTAGTGCCGCTCTAACAGAAAATACTACATGTGAACGGCTTTAAAAAATAGGGATTTTTTTTTTTTTTTTTTAATAGTTTTGGAGGCTGGAAGTCCGAGTTCAGAGTGACAGTTCTAGGAGCTAGGTGAAGGCCCCTCAACCCTGGGCTTCAGCTCTGCCTCTTGCTCCCGGCCCATTGGAGTTAGAGGTTTCTCCTAACTCAGGCAGCTGCTAGCTGCTGAGGCTGACAAACCCAAGGTTGACAAGTGGAAGGGCACAGTCCATAGATTATCAAGCAACACAGCAGGCCACTGGTTCAAGTCCAGAAATAGTCTGAAGACAACATGGTAGGCCACTGAGATGAAGACTTGGCTATATGCAGGATCCAGATGTGCCAAGAAGCTAGACACCTTTATCAAAGTGTCTCCTTATCTACTGGCAGCAGACTGCATCTCTAAGGCAGCTACTCAGCTGCTCCAGTAGATTGCACCACGGAGTTGACGACCAGTCTCATCATGGGTAATAACTACATCCAGCTGCCCAGCCGCTCAATACCAGGCCCAGCCAAGTTGACACACAGCCTGAATTACCCCAGTGTTTCCTAAACTCAAGCACGCTCTACTCCATGAACATAGTACTTCTGTCAACATCAGGCTTGTGATCCCACAGGGACCCAGAGTTTATGTCCCACAGGGCTCCCCGCTAACCCCGAGACTCTACTGGATTTTGCCAGTGTCCCACGTTAACATGTGGCTGTATCTGGACTCCAGGATCCCTGCACACTCTTGTCTTGTGACCTTGGCGCCTTGGATGAGTGCCAGCTGGATGCTGTCGAATGCCCTTCACCTGGGGTTCCTCCTGAGAAGACACTGGTAGTGCTCTGTTTCCAGGGGTGCTTCAGGATGACATGGGACATTCTCAGAGGTCTGTCCTATGGCCAGCAACTGTAGCTTTGACCTCTGGGTTCAGGGTGTCTTGGCCCGGTTTTTCTATTGTAGAGTTAAATGAGTTGCTATATGACTAAATAAACTAACAGGGAGGGGTTTGTGGCATGGCACAGCAAGGCTATGTGACTGTCCAGTGGTTAAGCGCTCATCTACTAACCAAGAGGTTGGTTCATGTCCACCTGAGACAGGCCTGGCAGTCCACTTCCGAAAGGTCACAGCCACACAAAGCCTGTGAGCACAGGTCTGCCCTGATCCACACGGAGTCACCACACACCCGAGTTGACCCACAAGACCCCTCGCGGGTCAGTGCCGTGCTGCGGTGGCTCCTGTGTTGCTCTGGTGAGCCTCCTGGTATCTCAGATACCAGCAGGGAGGATCACCTAAGGTGGGCAGGTTTCAGCAGAGCTTTCCGGCTAAGACTAGGAAGAAAAGCCTGGCAGTCACCTTCCAAAAATTGGCCACTGAAAACCCTACAAGAGAACAGTGTCTGATACAGTGCTGGAAGGTAGCCCCCGAGGTTGGAAGGCACTCAGCTGTACAAAGGCTGCAAGGATGTATGCGAGCAGAACACCGATTATGAGGACGGCATGTGACCGGCAACGCTGGGTTCTGTTGTTCATGGGGTCGGAGCCAGCGAAACGGCAGCGAATAAGCCTTGGCGATGGTGATGAGCTTTGGCCAAGTTAGTTCCTACTGCAAGGATTCCCAGATGGTGGACTTCTCATTCCAGCACTCCTCTGTGTGTGTGTGTGTGTGTGTGTGTGTGTGTGTGATTTGGGTGAAGGATTGCAGAACAAATTCACCTTTCATACAGCAGCTCACATACACGTTGTCTCAAGACATTGACCACAATTTACCACAGTGCAACAGCTCCCCTCCTGCTTTCTCCTGATAGTTACCTCTTCCCTGTGTCCATCCCTCCATGCCCTCCTGCCCCCTGAGCTATCTCTCTGTGCATAAAAAACTCTTCTTTCTCCTGTGATTTTTCTCTCCAAGGAGTGTATCTACCTAGTGTAAATGTTCACCTTGTATGCCTGTCTTTTGTTTGGCTGGAAGCCACAGGTGTGGGTTCAATTCCAAACCTGAAGGGCAGCTAAGAGTCATAGTCTCACTGGTTCCACCAGGCTCTATCAGAACAGCAAACCTGGTCCCTTTTCTTTTTTCCCCAAATGATTTCGAGTTTTGTTCCACGTTGTACTCCCTCTCTATCCAGGATCTCCTGCATAGATCCCCCTCCAAGTGGTTGTCAGTAGTAGCTGGGCACCATCTAGTTCTCATAGTCTTATAGGCTGAGGATTACATGGTGTTTCAGTTGTGAGAACTAATTGTTTCCATGAATCTTTGGTTTTTTTTATTCTTTGCTCTGGATGGGGAGAGATCCATCGTTTTATGTAGATGGCTGCTTGCAAGCTTTTAAGATCCCAGTCGCTACTTGCCAAAGGAGGATGTGGAACAATGTTTTGTGTAGTGTGTTATGCCAATTGAGCTTGATGTCCCCTGCGACTATGGTCCTGAGCCCACAGGTTCAACTACTCGGTCCCTCTAGGTAGCTGGCTGTGGCCAAGAAGTGACTACAACCTTGTCCCTTGTCAGCTCTACTATATACACCTGGGAATTCTTACAGAACATACAAATACACTTGTAGAACCATTGTCTACCAACCCTGTACATGGGCTTGGGTACTCTCCCCCCTGCACAGATATACCTAATAGTTGCCTGTCCACCCATCTGTCCACCTGTATACCCATGTTTGTCTCCGCTGACAGTGCAATACTGTATGTGCAGAAGGGTTCATCTTTGTTGGCCTCTCTACGTCTTCCTCTTCCTCAATGCCACCATGTTGATCACTCACATTTGGTACATTGTCTTTCTCTTCACCCAAATCAATACTTGTCTCTATCTGTCTAACAGTGTTCCCTACCCTACCCTCCCACCCCTGGGAACCAACAAAGAAAAGTTTTTTCCATGTATAAACCTTTCCTTGACTTTTTACAATAATGGACTAATACAACACTTGTTCTTCTGTGATTGACTTATTTCACTCAGCACAATGTCCTCCAAGTTCATCCACATTATGCGGTGTTTTGCAGATTCTATGTTATTCTTTAGGGTTGTATAGTATTCCATTGTGTGTATGCACCATAGTTTGGATATCCGTTCCTCAGTTGATGGACACCTAGGTTGTTCCCATCTTTTGGGTACTGTAAGTAGTGCCATGATGAACGTGGGTGTGCATGTGTCTGTTCTTGTCCTGGCTCTCCCTTCTTTAGGATATATACTTAGTAATGGAATGACTGGCTCAAATGGCATTCCAGTGCTCTTTAAAGTGTGTGCTCTGCTGTGAGGACGGCTTTTCCCATTGGGTCGTCAGTGCGCCAGTGGATACTTGGGGCTGTTGGATGATTCGGAAGGTTGTGGTTCACCCCTGTGCGTTATGATATCTGGAGGGCCCCCGGCTTGGCCGTTGGGAGCTGCAACGTGGGCTCGGTCTCTCATCTCTGCAGGTCGCCAGCTGTGCCCTTTGCCTCCTACGGCCTCCATCACAGCAGCCTGCTGAAGCGGCACATCTCCCACCAGACGTCTGTGAACGCGGACCCTGCCTCCCATGAGATCTGGCGCTCAGAGACCCTGCTCCAGGTGAGCGCCAGGGAAGCCATGCCAGCTTCCTCGGCGGGGCAGGCAGGAACAGGGGCAATGTCTTCCAGACAGCCTCCAGCCTCTGCGGGAGAAAGATGAGGCAGTATGTTTCTGTAAAGACCGGCAGCCTTAGAAACCCTCTGTGCAGTTCCACTCTGTCCTCTAGGGGCGCTATGAGTTGGAATTGACTCCACAGCAATGGGCTTGGTTTGGGCTTTGCTTCCGTGAAGATAAGAAGCTCTGATAGAATAGTGCCTAAGGCACTTGACGGCTAACCAGAAGGCTGGTGGTTCAAACCCACCAGCCACTCCTTGGAAGGAAGTTTGGGCAATCTATTTCTGTAGTGATACTGCTTCAGCAACCCAGAAAGGGGTTACTATGGGTCTGACTCGAGGGTGCATAACAACAACAACATCCATGAACATTGACAGCCTTGGAGACCCTCTGGTCACAGTTCCACTCTCCTCTAGGGGTGCTGTGGGTTGGAATCGACTGTGGCGAGTGGATTTGGTTTTTGGTTTAGAAAGCTAGAGCTAAAGCTTCCTACTTTTTCCCTTTGTATGGTTGGCAGCATTTTCTGTTCCAACTTCATTCCTTGTCCTTGGGTATTTTTGTCTTTGGTTATTTTCCTCTTCTCAAGATGATGATATTGTCATACTGTCTTTTCGTTTCTGGTAGGTGGGTGTTCTCCCTGCCTGCCTGCTAAGGCCTTTCCCCCACGTCAACGGAGTAATTTCCCACCTTGAGGGAGGTCAGACTCGCCCAGTGCCGGCTGGGTAGAGGCCATTGTTTGCATGACGTGGAGCTGAGGGCTTTGTGAGGCCTCCACTCCACCAGCAGCCCCATGCAGCCTACCAGTGAGGGCTCCAGCCTCACCCAACTTCTGGGTTGTGGCCCGGGTGGGATTCTGCCCCTCCCACCTCAGGTATAACTCTGGTATGTGGAACCTGTGCTCACGCAGGTGGCCACGTTCTCACAGCAGCCCTAGGAGCCAGCAACGGTGACAGCGTGTCCCTGTTTATAGAGTGGGGCCCTAGGAGTGGCTCTGACCACACAGCCATGTGGACCATGGGCTTTGCTGGCCCATGACAAGGACAAGTGTCCAGGGCTCGACTTCCAGACCTGTAGCTGATGCCAAAGCCTTTCCGCAGGTGTTGGTTGAGATGTGGCTTCATCACTACTCTATGGAGATGTACCAGACGATGCAGTCTCCTCATGCCAAGGTAGGTCTGCGTGCACTCGGCCCGCTGGTCCTCCTCGTCCCTGAGCAGAGTTAGGGCTGGGTGGCGGGCAGCTTAGGCCCACTGTCACCCCTCGCTCAGCGAGAAGGAGTTTTGTTCTTTGAGACAAAGCTGGGTCTGTGCCCCACGGGCTGGGTGGCTGAGACTGGGAGGTTTGCCTTCTCTGGGCCCAGCACCAGGCAGCTTCCAGAGCCTGGCTTTGGCGGTGGAATGGGTGGACAGTCACTCTTGGTCTGGAGCAGGGGCCCCTCTGGCAGGCATGTCTGTGCCTGCCCCTCACCCATCGGCAGTGCCGCCATGCTGGCCCAGTGGGGTGACAGCCCAGACGGCCCTCGTCCACCCAGGCACCTGGCTTGAGACTGCTGCCCGCACTGCCATTGCCTTCTCCTGAGCACCAGCACGCACAGCTGTCCCGGTGATCTGCAGCCGGCCTCCTCCCCACCCTGGCCATTCCCCACTTCCTCCCCTGGCAGCAAAGTCATTGGCCAGGGTGTGGGACTGGCAGAGTGACTGAAGTTCAAGGCAGGCTCAGTCCTGCAGCCCCATTGGGCGAGTCAGATTGTTGGTTCTGTCACTCAGGTGGCCAGGGTGGCGCTTAAGAGTCACGCTCCCTAGTCGGAAGGGACATCAAGCTCAATTGACGTAACATACTACACAAATCATTGTTCCACCTCCTACTTTGGCGAGTAGTGACTGGGATCTTAAAAGCTTACAAGCAGCCTCTAGATGCAACGATGGGTCTCTCTTCGTCCAGAGCAAAAAAGAATGAAGAAAACCAAAGATTCATGGAAACAGTTAGTCCTTGTGACTGGTACACCATGTGATCCCCAGCCTATATGACTATGAGACAGAAGAACTAGATGGTGCCCGGCTACCACTGTCAACCACTCAGGGAGATCTATGGAGGAGATCCTGGATAGAGAGGGTGAACAATGGTGGAACAAAACTCAAAATCATTTGGGGGAAAAAAAAGGGGGACCAGGTTTGCTGGTCTGATAGATAGAGCCTGGTGGAACCACTGAGACTATGGCCCCAGCTGCCCTTCAGGTCTGGAGTTGAACCCACACCTGTGGCTTCCAGCCAAACAAAAGACAGGCATATGAGTTGAATGTGTACCTGAGGTAGATACAGTCCTTGGAGAGAATAATCCTGGGAGAAAGAAGGGCTGTTTATGCACAGGGAGACAGCTCAGGAGGCAGGAATACATGGAGAGATGGACACAGGGAAGAGGTAACTATCCGGAGGAAATGGGAGGGGAGCTGTTGCATCGGGGTAAATTGTAGTCAGTGTCATGAGACAACGTGTGTGTTAACTGCTATATGGAAAGTGAATTTGCTTTGTAAACTTTCACCCAAATCACAATTAAAAAAAAAAAAAAAGAGGCATGCTCCCTGGAGCAGCTCCGATTCTGCCTGAGGCTGCAGCCAGGACTGGTGACCTAGGTTCTGTTTCAACTTTTGACCTTATTCCTGAGGACCTTGTTGTTGTTGTTGTTGTTGTTATGTGCCCTTAAGTCGGACTCAACTCATAGCGACCCGTCCTTGGGTTTCTGACGCGGTATCACTACGGAAGTAGATTGCCCAACCTTCCTTCCGAGGCGTGGCTGGTGGGTTTGAACCTCCAGCCTTCTGGTTAGCAGTCATGTGCCTTAGGCACTATGCTACCAGAGTTCAAAAAGTAGCGCTGGTGGTGCAGTGGTTAAAGCACTCAGCTGCCAACCAAAAGGTAGGCAGTCTGCTCCGGTGAAGACTGATAGCCTTGGACACCTTCTGGGGCAGTTCCACTCTGTCCTCTAGGGGCACTGTGAGTCAGATGGCCGTTGTGTTGAGCAGGAGAACATCCTGGGAACTAGAGAAGCCAGCTGTGGAGGTCAGCCCCCACAGTGACTCAGGCCCACAGTTCCTGGGCTCACTTCTTTCTTCCTGATGCCTGTGTGCGCAGCTCTAGGAGGCCCCCCCCAAAGGCTCTGAGTATCACTGAGCCCCTGAGTCCCTAGCCTCCATTCACCCCCACTTGCTGAGCACCACCTCTGGGGGTTCCTGCAGGCCCTATGCACCAGCTGGAGCCGGCCCTCACTGAGCACAGGGGGTGGCGGGGCTGGGTGTGCAGGGCTGTGCTTTCTCACGGTGGTCCTTCCCGCCTTACGTGGCATGCGTCTGGCTCAAGGGTTTGTTTGCTATGTGAGATGAGGTGGGGCCTGCTGCTGGGACGGGGGCAGGCCTTGCGGGGAAGTGCAGGTTTGTGGGCCAGCCTGGGGTGCAGCTGGCTGAGGGGGTGTCTTCCGCAGGCCTCAGCATGGCAGGGCAGGGCCCACTGCCCGTCACAGCTGCCGCCCCACGTCCTGGGCCGTCCCAGCTGCAGAGTTGGACCTGCTGGAGCCACACACTCGGGGTCCCTGCCCTTGGATGAGGAGTGGCCCTGTGTGTTGTTGTTGTTGTTGTTGTTGTTGTTGTTGTTATGTGCCGTCGAGTCGGCCCTGACTCATAGCGACCCCTCCTTGGGTTTCCGAGGCAGTATCACTACAGAAGTAGGATTGCCCAACCTTCCTTCCGAGGAGTGGCTGGTGGGTAGGGAAGTGTAATGAGAACTGATGAGTTATCTGCCATCAGATGAGTTATTCTACCATCCTGTGGTAGAATTTTGCCTGTAACTCTCTATGCTGTGGGGCCTGGTGGTGCTGTGTTCGTGGTCCTTCACACGCATGCTGGGCTGACCCTGTACCCATCTGAGCCACCATCAGGAACCAGCCTTGGTTCCCGCAGAACAGGAGGGCCCGTGGTCAGGGCAGCGGTGGTGGTGGAGGCCTTGGCCGGGCTGTAGCTGGACTGGAACTCAGCCTGGCGCATGCTGGTTTCGTGCCTCCCTGCCTTAGACGACCTAGGGAAATCCACCAGCCTTGTGTTTTCCTTTCATGTGTGGAGAAGGGTCAGCTGGTCCCTCAAACTGTCCTTCTGAGCCTGAGCCCTCAGGGCCTTTGTGGCTCCTGATGTGCCCAGTGAGGACGCCCAGCCTGCCCCCGCTGGACTGTAGCAGGGACATGTTCACATGGTGCCGTCCCTCCGGGTGAGGCCCTTCGGCGGGAGAGAGCGGCGGTCTGACCTCTCAGAGCTGGGGGTGCTGCCCAGGGCTCCCGAGTGACCCTGAGGTCAGCTGCCCTTTGGCCTGGAAGGGCCTGGCTCTCTCGGGGTGCGCTCCCACCGTGCCAAGCCAGAGGCTCTCGGTCGGCCGCTGCGGGGCAGACGTCTCAGCTGCTGGGGCTGTGGTGCAGTGAGCCGTCCCTGACACTTTCGTTTGGTTTCCTCTCCTGTCTCCTGGGGTCACGCCTGCCTGTGTGTCCCTCCCCATCCCCGCCCCGCTCCTGTGCCTCTGCCGCCTCAGCTGGAGATTCTGCACTACCGGCTCAGCGTGTGCGGCGCCCTGCACGGCCCTGCCCAGCCCGGCTTCCGGGCCCTGCACACCTACCAGGTACTGGCTGTCATGTTGGTTCTGTCACTCCTGGCCCGTGGCGTTAGCCGCAGAGCACCTGTCAGTGCAGGGCTAGAACCAGAGGCCAAGGGGGTGATCTTGGGGGACCCGGGACTGGTTTCACATATAGCAGGAAGCCCGGCGGGTGAGGGCACTCAGCCTTCAGCTGGGCCCTGGGACGGGGAGGAGCACACAGGGCCCTGCATGGTCCCGGGACGAGGGCACTGCCCCCGCCTGGCCTCGGTCCACAGGGCCCTGGGGCTGCTGGCTGGTCCCCATCCAGAAGTGTCACCCACTCGGCCCCAGCCTTACATGTGAAGCTAAGGGGCACGGGGCGGGCGATGTGGGGCCAGGGGTGGGGGAGTCCTGTGGTTGGCTGGTTCATGGGACGCCTGCCCGGAAACTGTGGCTCGGTGGCCCTGCTGTGCCCAGGTGGCACGTGAGGTTCAGTACAAGATGAGGAAGCTGTCTTGACAGTTGAGTTTCAGGATGGGCTGGCAGAGTGGCCCACAGTGTGGGTTCCCACACATCAAAGCCGCCACGTGGCAGTAGAGGTGATCCTTGGGCCGGGGGGACAACCAGGGTGGGTGCAGTGTGGAGACCCACACAACGGGTAAGGCATCTGGCTGTTAACCTGAAGGTCGGCAGTTAAAACCCACCAGCTGCTCCGTGGCAGGAAGATGGGGCAGTCTGCTTCTGTAAAGATGTACAGCTTCTGAAACCCAACGGGGGTCACTGTGAGTTGGAATCAGCTCAGTGGCAGTGGGTTTGGTGTTTGGTTTTTGGGGTTGCATCAGCGGAGAGTGCCGGGCTTGCCCAACACATGCAAGAGAGGAGCCCTGATGTGAAGGACGAGGCCCTGGGGGTGGGCCCAGGTGTGGGAGGAGGCCGAGAGACACTGGGCTCAGAGAGTTGGGCGTTTGAGGACAGGCCGGACATGTGACTTGACGAGTACGCTGAGAAAGGGGGCCAGTGGAGGATGGGCTGCAGCCTCCAGACCCCCAGGAAGTGGGGAGAGGCAGCTGGGGTGTAAGGCCAGTCAGTGCTCTGAAGCAGGAAGGAGCAGCCCCCCGCCCCGTGTGGAAGGAGGATGACCCGGGGCTCCAGGCTGGGAGACGAGACTGGCGGGGGACACCTCTCGTGGGGCGAATGGCTGGCCTCCATGTCCTCCACAGTCCAGTCTTCATCCACTGTTGCTGCCAAAACATTTCATATTGCTTATTTCACAATCAGTGCAAATTCATTGCTGGACATACAGCTAAGTGATTTCCTGCCACAGACATACACACACCCCTCGCGTGTGTCCCCTTGGGCCACATTTTCATGGGGGGAGACAGCTGGGGTGTAGGACAGTCACCATTAGCCTCACTTGTGCTTGGGCTGAGGCAGCCGGCAGCTCCCGGGCAGGTGTGTTGAGGCCCAGGGGCAGGGGACGGGTGGGGTGGGAGGAGCCAGGGGCTGCCTTTCCTGGGGGTCCTGTTGCTCCGCCCACTCGAAGCCCCTGAGCAAAGCTGGAGAGACCCCACAGTGCAGATGGGTGCCCTCCCGGGGGCCTGCACTGTGACTCGAGACTGGGCCCACCACCCTGTAGGTCCTTGTCTTGGGGGTTTTAGCTGACACAGGTGAGGAGGGAGGGAGGGTACCCTCACACACTAGCACTCTTCCCCCTATGCCCAGACTGGGCGTAGGTGGAAGGAGTAGGGTTTATATCGGGGGATGGACATGGTTGACTGGGAATGGGAAGGCTGGGGCCTGGTGAGCTGTGTGTAGATCCCAGGAGGCAGGCTACAGTCTGGTCTCCCATTTCTGCGGTCCTTGTCCTCCAGCTGTCCCAGAGGTAGGGCCCCTGAGGACACGCAGCTGGTGGCAGTGACAGTATCAACCACAGGTGGTACTTGGCTCTGCACTGTGGCACTGGGGTTTAAGTCATGATGGGGACGCTCCAGACTGCGTGCTTTCATTGAACCCTCTGCTGGGGCCATCGGCAGGCCCTGGACCCTTGCCATGCCACCACAGGACAGTCTTAAGTTCAGGCCAAGCAGTGGGGTGTGTGTTTGTGGGAGCTGGGCCTGGGTGTACTGGGTGGCGGACCCAGACCTTTGGCCTGGACAATGCAGACTTGAGGGCACATGTGGGCCCAGCACGGAGTGCGGGGCTCCCCAGGCTGTCCCGGGCTGACCTGTTCCTTGCCCCCAGGAGATGTTCACGCCCACTGAGGAGCACGTGCTGGCGGTCCGGCTGCTCGTGAAACACCTGCACGCTTTCTCCAACAGCCTGAAGCCGGAGCCTGCCGCAGCCCACTCCCATGCCACCAGTCCCCTGGAGGAGTTCAAACGGTGGGCACAGGCTGCGGGCCATGGCAGGAAGGGCCCCTGCAGGGTGGGACTGGAGGCACATGGCTCCTGACTGTCCCAGGTCTGTCTCCGTGCCCCCACTTGGCTGCTGTTCCTGCTGTTGTCCTGGCATCTCCCCCAGGCCTGCGCTGTGCTCCTTAGTGGAGAGAGCCATGCTCACCAGGGGCGGAGGGCAGGCTTTCCTCCCACCCAAGCAGGGCTGGAGTGGGCAGCAGCGTGGACGGCTTTGCAGGGAGCGTCTGGGGCAGTGGACGGGCTGTGTGCACTTGGTTTCCAGGCCGGTCAGCACCTGGAGTGTTGCCTGACCTCTCTGAACCTCAGGTCCTCTCTGAACAGAGCCGAGAGGACTCTTTTTGTTTTTTAAATTTTTATTGTGATTTGGGTGAAAGTTGACAGATGCATTTTCCATACAGCAGTTTATACATATTTTGTTTCATGACATTGACTGTAATTCCCTACCATGTGACAGCTCTCTTCCCATTTCCTCCCCATAGTTACGTCTTCACTGTGTCCTTCCCTCCATGCACTCCTGCCCCCGGCGCTGTCTCCCTGTACAAACACTGCCCCTCTCTTCTCCCATGATTGATCTCTCCAAGGAGTGTATCTACCTGGTGTAGAGGGTTCTGGAGGTCACACATGCCCAGCCCTCGGCTGGCAGGTGGGCCCTCGACACAGGGGGCCCCTGGGCTCACATCCAAGGACATCTTCCACGTGCTGGGTGACCAATGGCAGACTGACGCTGCTTCCCCCTCAGGGCTGCCATCCCACGCTTCGTCCAGCAGAAGCTCTACCTGTTTCTGCAGCACTGCTTTGGCCACTGGCCCCTGGATGCATCGTTCAGAGCCGTGAGTGTCCACCCCGGGGCCTGTGCTCGCCATGGGCCCCTGGCGAGATGCAGGGCTGAGGGCCTGGGGCAACACTCAGGAGGACCGTGACTGCCGCTGCAGAGGCCTGCAGGGGGACCGGGGTGGGTCTCCATTGTGCACATCCAAGTTCCTGAGGCCAGCCTCCTGGTACCCAAAAGCTGGTGCCTGACTCAGAGCTCGGAGAGCGTAGCTGGGACCCCAGCCTCTCGGACTCCACTGGACAGTGGGTGGGCTTTACTGCTGAGGGTGGGCTGAATCCAACACCACAGGGCGGCCAACCCCTGTTGGGGGACGCTTGTCTGTCCCTGCAGCAGGCGAATGCCCTGGCCAGCCCTCAGTGAGGGAGCTGGCCTTCTCCCTTCTGCCGGTCCCCTAACCCAGCCTCCAGGCACTGAGGACCTGTGTCTCTCGCCAGGTCCTAGAGATGTGGCTAAGTTACCTGCAGCCGTGGAGGTACGCACCCGAGAAGCAGGCCCAGAGTAGTGAGGCCCAGCCCCGCTGTGTGTCAGAGAGATGGTGAGTGGGGATCTTCAGCCCAGTGTCTGTGCGGCTGCCTCACGGTGGGCCCTGCATCAGTGGGCGGGGGCCTGGGAGCCCAGGCTACCTCTGTGGGCCTTTCTCTGTGGTCCCCGGGTCAGCACAGGCTACCCACGACTTGATCATACTCTGTCGGGTCCCAGAATCGTGCTGCCTAGGCCTGGATGAATCCCTGGAAACTCGGGTGGTCCTCTTCCCCTGTCCTGCACCGTCCCTGTGCCCATTGCGGTCTCCTCTCAGCTCAAGTTCACCTTTAAGGTCTCTTCCATCCCGTAAACCTTCTCCCAGTCCTTCCTCGATGGCCACTGCCTGTCATCTCCCCTACCCGTTCCTCACGGCCACCCCGTGGCTTCTGTCGGTGCCCTTCCCTCTGCTGGCTGTCTTTCGTCCCTACGGCCACCTTCAGACTTCCGCCCTGACGTCCTCTGTCCTGGCCGCCATCCCCTTCTATTTCTGCTCCATCCTAAGCGCCTGAGATGACCTCCACCCTGTGGGGTCCCAAGCCTTGGTCCTCTCGGACATGAGCCTCATTCTTGTGTCTGTGTGTGTCCCCCTGGGTGTGTGTATGTGTCCCTGGGTGTGTCTGTGTGTTTTATTGTGAAATAACACACGACAAAGCATTTGCTGTTTCAGCAACTTTTATTTTTATTGTGATTTGGGTGGAAGTTGACAGAGCAGATTCCTCTTCCATACAGCAGTTCACGTATTCTTTGTCTTACGGCATTGACTGCAATCCTCACAGTGTAACAGTTGTCCACTCACTTCCTCCCTATGGTTACCTCTTCCCTGTGTCCTTCCCTCCCATGCACTCCCGCCCCCTGAGCCGTCTCCCTGTGCAAACACTGCCCTTCTGCTCTCCCACGATCGATTGCTCCAAGGAATATATGTTCACCCCGTATGACTGTCTGTTGTTTGGCTGGAAGCCATGGAAGTCAGTTCAGTTCCAGACCTGAAGGATGGTGACTAGGGGCCGTAGTCTCAGGGGTCTCACCAGGCTTTATCAGACCAGCAAACCTGGGTGTTTTTGTTTGTTTGTTTTTTAAATGATTTTGAGTTTAGTTCCAAATTTTTCTCCCACTCCATCCAGGATCTCCTGCACTGATCCCCCTCCAAGTGGTTGACAGTGGTAGTTAGGCACCATCTAGTTCTTCTGGTCTCATGTTCATATAAGCTGAAGATGGCATGGTCTGTCAGTCCCTTGCACTAATTGTTTCCATGCAGCTTTGGTTTTCTTCATTCTTCTTTGCTCTGGACGAGGAGAGACGCATTGTTGCATCTAGATGGCCACTTGCAAGCTTTTCAGACCCCAGTTGCTGCTCACCAGAACAGGATGTGAAACAGTGTCTTTGTGTAGTGTGTTATGCCAGTTGAGCTTGATATCCCCGTGATCACAATGTTTCCAGTTTTTAAGTGTAAAGTTCCGTGATGTTAATTACATTCACCATCTTGAACAACTGTCCTGCTCTCTGTTCCTGAGTGTTTTCATCCCCCACATACCCTCAGGGCCCTGAAGCAGGAGCTCTGTTTTCCCCTCTCACACCCCTGGGAGCCACTAATAACCTTTGGCCTGCATGTACTTGCCTGTTGTAGAGACTTCGTGTAAGTGGGATCACATGGTACTTGTCTTTTCATATCTGAGTTTTTTCGCTCAATATGGTGGTCTCGGGTCTGTGCATGGTGGAGCACGTGTCAGGACTTTGTTTCAAGGGCCCTTGCTCTTGGGGATTCTGTCATTGGACAGCCCAGTCGTCATCCTATCCTCACCCACCCACCCATAAGCCCCCTCAGCTGTCATTCCCAAGACTTTGAACTGAAAACCCAAGAGCCACACAGCCCCTGTCTCCAGTGGAAGCTCCAGCCTTGACCTGCACCCCGGTCTCCAGGGCGCCCTTCGTGCAGGAGAACCTGCTGGTGTACACCAGGCTGTTCGTGAGCTTCCTGAACCGTGTGCTGCGCATGGACCTGGTCAGCCCCAAGAACGCGCTCATGGTGTTCCGCGTGGCCAAGGTCTTCGCCCAGCCCAACCTGGTGGACATGATCCAGAAGGGTGAGCTGGCCATAGGACCCAGGGTGGCCCGGCCCCATCCCAGTGGCCTGTGTGCCAGGCCTGCAGCTGCAGGATGCAGCTCCTGGGTGGGGGCCCAGGCTTTGGGGCCCCAGAGGAGGGTGGGCTGGAGAGCTGTGATGCATGGTGGCCCCTAATCCTCCCCTTCTTGGGTTTCTGATCGAGATGGTCTTGGGGCCTGTGGTGGGCACGCTGGGCCACTGCTCTCGGTGTGCCGGAGGGAGGGGGGCCCCGTGGCCCTAGGACTGTTGGTGGTGTGTCTGGAGGCCACCGTGGCCCCACCCCAACCATTTCTGTATGTTTCTTCATGGGAGTTGGACTCCAGGGCTGGGCTCTGGGGTCCTGCTGTCACCCTGTCTGGCTCACAGCTGGCCCACCCACCTGGGAGGCACCTGCCATGCTGGTGTACATGCTGCTGGTGCAAGACATGCCGCCCCTTTTGGAGGTGATCGCTGCATGCACACTGGCCTCTAGACAGTCACCTTGACCTTGAGGTGGACTCTCTGCCCCCAGGTGAGCAGCTGTTCCTGGAGCCCGAGCTCGCCCTCCCCCACCGCCAGCACCGTGTCCTCATGACACCCACACTCACTGGCAGCTTCCTGTCAGCCTGGCCACCCACCGTCACCGACGCTGCCTTCAAGGTGAAGAGCCACGTCTACAGCCTGGAGGGTCAGGACTGCAAGTACACCCCGATGTTTGGGCCCGAGGTCCGCGCCCTGGTGAGTGAAGAGGCTCTGGAACGCGCTGAGCCCGGGAGGGGAGTCGCGGGAGAGGGGGCGGTGGGCCTGCAGCCGAGTGGACTGGGCTGGGCCCCTCTCCTCCTTTGCCAGCGAGTCTCATTTTTCTGTGATCTACCAGGTGTTAGGAATCTTTGGAATGCATGAGCCTTTACAAACCTTTTCACCTGGAAGTTAAGCTCTTGTGATTCCACTCTGGGTACACATGCCCTGGCCAGGCTTCCTCAGGCCACCCCAGCCTGAGGGACTTGCCCATCTCCCCTGCTTGAGCCAGGGGCCACACAGGCCCCTCCCAGACTGCTGATGGTCATGCGCCCCCCGCCAGGTCCTGCGCCTGGCACAGCTTATCACGCAGGCGAAGCAGACGGCCAAGTCCATCTCTGACCAGTCTGCCGAGAGCACGGCTGGCCGTTCCTTCCTGTCGTGGCTGGGCTTCGGCCCTGTGGACACCAGCAACTCCTATGCAATCAATGACCTTGACGAGATGGGGCAGGACGGTGTCCGCAAGACGGATGAGTACCTGGAAAAGGCTCTGGAGTACCTGCGCCAGATGTTCCGGGTATAGGCTACAAGGCTCCGTCCTCCCCGCCCCCCGTGGCCGGCACAGTTCCCTCCCTCTTCCTCGCGGTCAGCTCTGTCCTCCCTGCTTCCCAGTGGCCAGCACTGTCAAAGGCCTAGTGGGATGGTGACCTGTCTCTTCACTGGTGGTCTCCTCTTGACAGCTCAGTGAAGCCCAGCTGGCCCAACTCACACGCGCCCTCGGGACGACGCAGGACGAGAATGGGAAGAAGCAGCTTCCGGACTGCGCTGTGGGGGAGGATGGGCTGGCGCTCACCCCCCTGGGCCGCTATCAGGTAAGAGAGAGGCCGCGGCCCTGCCCCTAGCCCTGGAGGGAGGCCTGCACTTCTGGCTTGGCTGCCAGGCTGCTTTCTGAAGCGGCCCCACGGCCCGGTTCCACTTGGCACTCCTTCCCCTTTGGCCCCAGATCATCAACGGCTTGCGCAAGTTTGAGATCCAGTACCAGGGCGACTCGGAGCTGCAGCCTATCCGGAGCTACGAGATCGCAGGCCTGGTCCGCCTGCTCTTCCGCCTCTCCTCCGCCATCAACCGGAGGGTGAGTGGGGTGGGTGGCATGCCCTTGGAGGCTCAGGCTGCAGGAGGCTTTGGCCCGCCAGCCCCGGGAGGGGCCCCGCTGCCCAGATGCCTGTGGGCTGCCCTGGAGAGCTGCCCTCCTCACCTCCGTGCCTACCTGTGTGTTCAGTTCGCAGGCCAGATGGCAGCCCTGTGTTCCCGGGCCGACTTCCTGGGCACCTTCTGCCGCTACCACCTCACTGAGCCCGCGCTGGCCAACCGGCACCTACTGAGCCCCATGGGCCGGGCGCATGCGGCCAGCCGGGCCCGTGGCCCCAGGCTTAGCCTGCGCTTCCTGGGCAGCTACCGGACGCTGCTGTGGCTTCTGCTGGCCTTCTTTGTGGCCTCCCTGTTCTGCGTTGGGCCCCTGCCCTGCACCCTGCTCCTCATCCTGGCCTACCTGCTCTACGCCTCGGCCATGGCGCTGCTCTCCGAGCGGAGCAAGCCACACCAGGCCTGACAGCCAACCCGCCTCCCTCAGGAACCTTCAGGGCCCCTTCAGGGCCAGGGTGTGAAGGAAGGACAGAGGCAACCTGACCCCATGCAGTCTTCCTTCTGCCACTTGCCCACACGCCTGGGCCCAGTCATCTGCACACGTGGCAGGGGGTGTTTCCGACAGCAGTGGACGCATCTAGAAGAGGCCACGAGGTGAGAAGAGAGACCAGCCTGAGACCACCCCCCAACCAGAACACGTCCTGCCCACTGTTGGAGGAAGAGCCTGCTGCCCGGACCAACTGCTGGCACCGTTCTCAGGGCCACCTTCTTTTAGTCACTATAGGGCCCAGGAGCTGCATGCTGCCAGGGCTTCCTAGGCTCCTGCCCTTCCCCAGAGGCATGGTCCAGTCCTGGCCTTGCCCCTCCACTGTCCGCAAAGTGGCCAAACATGCAGTGTGACGTGTGACACCAGGACAGAGCTTAGGCTCTGGCTCCAGGGAAGAAGCAAAATGTCCAGCACAGGTTCCTGAAGCAGTGAGATCGTGGCCGTCCTGACTCCTAACTGCCGAGCCGCACTCTGTCTCCCGCGTGGTGAGATGAGAGCCATCTGTCCAGCCGGGGCTGCGGAGCTCCGTTTTGGACGTCAAGGTCGAGCACAGGCGCTTCTGGGGAACTGGAGCCTCAGGCCCTCCGGCCCTTGGCCCCCAGAACCTCACAGCTGCTGCTTCAAGGGGTCCCAGCGCCACTGCCTCTGCTGCCCCATCACAGGCAGGACCCTAGTCCTCAGCAGGCGTTGACAGCGTACCTGTGGTGACGGTGTTGGCTCTCAGCGGCATGTACTGCAACAAAGATGGTCCAAAGCATTTGTATCGTCGGTAAAATCAAGTACTTCAAGACACAAGCTTTCAATAAAATGTATGGACTCTATGACAACTACGTGTCCATTCGCAAAAGCTGTCTCCACAGGCTCTCATGCACCTTCAATTGTCCCACAGCGAGGCTCTGGGGACAGCAGTGACATGTGACCTCAATCCAGGTCTTTACTGGTGGTGGTGGGGGCTGTGTATGTGTTTAACTTCCCTATGGTTTTCTGAGCTCTGGTGGCATGGTGGGTAAGGCATTTGGCTGCTAACCAAAAAGTTGGATGTTCAAACCCACTAGCCACTCTGCAGAAGGAAAATGAGGCAATCTGCTTTCAAAAAGATTTATAGCCTTGGAAACCCAGTGAGGGTTGCTATGACTTGGATTCAATTCATTGGCAGTGGATTTGGTCTTGGGGTTAAGTTTTCCAGAATGTCAATGGTGGGCTTCCAGTTTTGATGTCAATTCAGAATCATGGTGTAAAGAGCCTGGGACCAATGAGCAAATCCAACTTGGACCTGACTGTGAATCTTGCTCCAGGGCTCTTGTGATTTCAGGGCTCAGTCTCCAGAAGTTTGCCAAATAGGGTCCCCGAGACCTCAGCAACTCTGCAGAAATGGCCACTGGATGCCAGTCTCTCTTCATCCCATTGTTA